TGAATATATGTGGACACAGAGGAGTTTGCTGCATTTGGATCATTTCTGAGCTCCAAAAAGCAAATAAAACACACACCAGTGCAGAGCTGGAGCTCATTAAAATGCTGGCAGTTGCTTGTACCTGAGCAGTGCCTCAGATTAATGTTTTTGTCTCACACTGAAGAGGTTCCTCAGCAAGCAGTGAGGATGCCTCTGAGCAAAGGGGGGTTATTAGGGCCCTTGGACATGGCACATGATGCTTCAGCAGCATGGAGCCACCAGCCTTTTTTGCAGCCTCAGGTCAGTGGTGCTGGGGATGCAGCTTGGGGAAGCTGCCTGGGGTTATCACCTCCGGGTGTATCCAGACACGGGTGTGTGGTACCTGGAGTGGCACTGGGAGCAGGGGGTGGGTGGCAGCATCCCTGTGAGGTTTTGAAGAGCTGGGAAGGAGCTGGGCTCATCTGTGCACAGAGCATCACCTCTGACACCCCAGCACCTGAGAAGGCTGACAAAGAGGCTGCTGCTGTAGAGAAAACAGTGATAAAAAGGCAGTTTATTTTTTACTGAAACACTTTATTAAATATTCTTTTAAAAAAAAAAAAAAAGCCTTGTTAACAGAAGAGAGGAGCAAAGCTGGGAAACCCTGACAGACAGCTCAGATGGAGAACTGGTGTCCTCTGGGGAATCCATGTCAGTAATGAGGCTTGGGTTTTATTTCCAGTGACCCCCTCACCTGTCTCACTGCTAATGAGCTTTGTAAATAAGAAAGCAAGAAAAAAAAGAGGCTTTTGCTCACTCACCTCAGCAGGGACTTGTCCAGATATTAATTGTCCTAAGACACAATCTTGTACAGGTTTTGTCAGATATTTTGGGTTTTTTTCCCCTTGAAGATGATCCTCCTCCCATTATGTTTGCTCTGAGGACAGTGAGTGGAGGAGCTGTGCCAAGTCCTGGTGGCAGGAGGCCATGGGGTGTCACACTATGTGCTGGGGTGACAGGATTGGGTTTGGGCATCCTACTTTGTTCCAACCAACAGCCCTGTGCTTCAGCCAGGCCTGCTCTGGTGGCCTCCTGAGGAGGGCAGCAGGCATGTGGCAGCAGGTCCTGCCAGCTCAGTCCCCCTGTGTCACCTTGGAGATGTCATTTAAAAGAGAAAAACTCCCCTTTCTAAAAAAAAAAAGAAAAGGTAAACCCAACACTTTCTTATCCATCATATCCATTCCCTGTGGGTTTTTTGAATCAGTTTGCTGACTGCACGGACAGAAATAAAGACCTGGGTGCTGTGCCCAGTGCAGCTGGGAGGGGATGAGCTGGTGCCTGGCAGCACCAACAGCCCAACCCTGCTGAGCTGCCAGCTCTGCCTTCACAAACCCCCCAGCACCAGCAGGGTCGAGGCTTTGTAGCTGTGGGTCACGTTTAGCCTGCAGCATCTGAACTATCAGAGCTAATGCAGAAGAAAGTAAGAAAGTAAGTTTTCTTTTCTCATCCCAAGAGCAATTTTCAGGGCTGGCCATCATCACAGAGAAACCACTTCACTCCTGCACAGACAGGGTGGATTTGCAAGGTGGTGGAATGACATTTGTATGGTTACAGCTTTTCCCTGGCTTTTTGGAGCAGACCATGAGCCAGAGTCTCCTCCTACCTCCCTTTTCCTTCCCATAGCACGGGTTAAGTACCAAACCCTCTTCCCAAGCTATGAGACATTTTTGCAAGTTGGATCAGTGGGTGAAGGGTGGTCTGGGAGTTTGAAGTGAGTTCTCAAGCAGTGCAAGCCTAACGTGACAAACCATAAACAGATTTTTCTTTTGAATAATTGACAAACAGTTCTTAGGATCCCTTTGTCTCCCTGCATAAGTGGATCCACCCTGTATCAGTTTGAGGGCTGCACAGGGGTGGTTGGTCAGGGCACCATGTATCACCAGCTTTCCTCCCATCGGGGAGGGACATGTCACCCATGATCACCCAGACAGAGTTATTGGCTGAGTTGCTTATTGATTTTCTCATCATTTTCTGACACAGCCCCCCCATCCCGTGTCACTGTCAAGGCAGATCACAAATTGAACTGCAGCTGAATTGATGGGGGATTGATTAAAACTCTCTGTAATTATTGGTTCTCTGCTGCCCGAGCCAGACAAATCAATGTCAGCAATAACAGATCTGGCCCTTTATTGGCCCAGTGAAGGAAGAGTGAGTGCTGGTTGGTGTAAACCCACCCAGGAGCCCAGGCCAAGCCTTCAGCACAGCCCTGGGAATCAGGATTAGCACAAGCTGGCTTTTTCCTGGGTCATTTCTGGCTGTGCTCAGCCTGCGAGCAAGAACATAGTTGCACCCAAATGAACTAAAGTTTTCTCCCTGCTCTGATCCGTAGCTGGGACAGCCCAATTGCAAATTCTCTGCTCCAGGGGCAGGGAGATCTGTATAGGAAAGTTCTACTGTGTCCAGTAGTTGCTCCATCCACCCATTCATCCCTGCAAAACCCTGGGCCCAGGGAGCTGGCGTTGCCTCTCCTGCCATCTGCCTGTGGGTGGGCTGGGGCAGAGCTCACCCATGTCCCTGGCATCTTCATCCTCCTCAGCCCCACCAAGCAGGGACCTCTCCCTTCTTTGTATGTTTACTACCAAAGCTTTCTGTCCCTGAAGAGCTTCTTGCTGCCACACTCCAGCTGGCTGGAGAACCAGCCCTGTGCCCAGCCAGGGATGGGTGTGAAGGGAGGGGTGGGTGCTCTTGCAGATTTTGTGCTGAGCCATTTGCCTGCCATAATTGCTGTATATTAAGATGCATAATTGCAGACAGAAAGGAAACATGTTTCATGGTGATTAACAGTCAAAACTGGAGGACAGTCCCAAAGGTGGCCTCAAGCAGAGTGGGGCTAAAGGAGGGAGGGCTTCAGTGACCTGCTAACACAGTCCCAGGAAAGAGCCATCATCTTCCTCTGCAGGCCAGGAAAGATGCTGAGCCCAGCACAGGGATCAGTGCCAGGGTGAGAGTCCCAAGCAACAGCTCAGAAAAGCCAGAGACTGATCCTCTGGCTGTGACCCTGTACCTTCTGCTGAGATGAAGTCCCATCTGGTTTCCTTCAGCACCCTGAAAAATCCCTCAGGAGCTCCAGAGGGGACTCGGGCAGAGTCCCAGACCTCCACATGCCTGTTGCCATGGGGAGAGCAGCAAAGAGGTGGCTGCAGTGCTGAGGAGTTGCTGTTTGCAGCCAGCCCTCCGTGTCCTCCAGGGTGATGTGTTGCTGCCAGTTTGCACAGCTCCTTCCTAAGTGGAGCTGGCAGAGGGGACAGTGGGACATGAGGGTTGTATCTGAGGATTCACAAACACACTCACCCTGCCCCTGTTTTCCAAGCAGCTTGGCAGTGAAAAGCTCGGGTTGCTCTAAGTGTACTCTCCTCCTCTGTATTTCTTCTGCCTGGGCAGCTAGTGAGCTTCCTGCTCCTGTCTTCTTCTGGTTTGTACCTCGATGGGGCTACTGTTTCTGGGGCCCTGCCTGCTCTGCAGAGACAACCATCCAATTCCAGAGCCTTTCACTGCCAACATCCTTTGGCTAGGAAAGCCTTGTGCCTTCCAGCCTTCCAGCCCTGGCCTCCCCTTCGACCTTATCTGGTGCCTGCAGGGAGGTGCTGAGGTTTGCAAGGTCCAGAAGAGGTGAGGGTGCAGGTGCTGGCAAGATGGCTGAGGGAGGATGAGCACGGGGATGCCTGAGACCTGGTGGTGGAAAATGGCACAGGGTTTCTAGAAGGTGGAGAGAAACTTCTCATGACTCAAATGAGCTGGGCCAGGAGTCCTTAAAGTGTCTTTCTGATGTCCACTGCAGGCAGTTTGCTTCTGGAGTAGGCAAGAGTGAGCAAGGCTGGGCAGCCCATCTTCTGTCAGGACCCCACCTGTGGCAGTGAGCACAGAGTCCAGGGTCTCCTGGATGTTTATCACTGTGTACAGCATTTTGCTCACATGGAAGAACTGATTTTCTTTTTTAAGCACGAAGTATAGTGGTTTTATAACCTTTCTTCTGCTTGACAGAGGTCATTTATAACCTGCCTTCATCACCACCCGTACAAGCTCCAGTCTAACTCATCTTCAAGAAATTCCATAATGTATTTTTAATTGCGAGCTGCTTCTAGGCAAGATTTATTTATTTTTTCAAGGACTGGCCTTTTTGTTGTTGTTTGTGTGCGTGCATGTTTGGCATAAAGGGGATAAATAATGCAAGTGGGATAGAAGACTGCTATAATCTGGGTGACAATTTATTGATGGCATTTGCCGCCAGCTGGCTTTTATCTTCTGGGACAAGGAAAGCCAGCTGGGGAACTGAAATTAAAACCCAGAGCCAGATCTCAAGCTTGTGTGAAGCAGCATGGTTCCTTGGGCTGTGGAGAGCTGTTCTGATGAGCCTGGGTTGCTATCTTGTTCTCCCCCAGTCCTGTCTCCACCACTGCCTGTCCTGCCTGCAGCTGCCTCCCCCATGGCAGGGAGTGAGGTGCATTTGGAGATGATGCCAAGGCCACATTTGCTGGTCTGTCTGGTGTGGGTTGAGGTGATTTCCTGGGTTGAAATTATTTTCTGGGTCACTCTCAAGCACTGAGGTGGTTTTCTGGGTTGGTCTCAGATGTGGAGATAATTTTTCTTCTGGGTCACAATAGACTTTTCTGTATCTCAAACGCTGAGTGTTTCTCCAGCACATAACAGAGTAGATCATCAGGCTTTGCCCCATGCTGGTTTGATGCTTCATTGCTGTGTGACATTGCTGTCTGAAGGATTTCATTCTCCTCCAGAGGGAGGATGGGGAGCGTGGCTTTTTCAGCACACTGGGCCCTTGTCCCTTCCCCAAAGGCTGTCCCAGGTGGTGCAGAGCCCTTGGGGCTGCCCCATCTGTCACTTGGGATGTATCCATCTCCTTCAGATGCAGACAGAATTCCACAGCATTTGTGGGTGGGCTCTGCCCTGGGAGGCCCCACTCTAAGCTGTGGGTGCAGGGCAGGTGAGGACCTACAGATGACCTTGCCATGCCCCTCTCTCTGCAGTGCCCCGACGAGCTCCGACCCATGAAGGATGGCACCGGTTGCTACGACTACTCCAAAGGGATTGACTGCTCAGATGGCTTCAATGGGGGCTGTGAGCAGCTCTGCCTGCAGCAGACCCTCCCTCTGCCCCACGACCCCTCCTCCAGCACCATCTTCATGTTCTGTGGGTGAGTCCCCTCCAATATTCCTGCATCTCCTGCCAGTAGCTAACTAACCTGTGTCCTTTGCCAGCCCTGCCAACCCTCCTCTGTCACCGTAACCCAGCAGGCCCAGCAGGGAGCTGGGTGCCCAAGAGAAAGGGTGCTCATGGAGCCAACTTCCAGCAGGGAATAGAGGCACCTGGATTGCCTGCAGGCAAAATCATAGGGGAGTGCAAGGAGCAATGTGAGCAGATGCACCTTCCTCCTCTTCCCCATCACATGACAGCACAGCTTGAGCTGTGACTCAGAGTGAAGGGACCCAAAAATCATACATTGCTTGTTGGAGGGGGAGAGTGGAGGATTTGTTTAAAAAATATGACTTTTGAAATTATTTTTTTTTCTCCCCTGTGCCTCTCTTAAAATAGAGTCTCATCCCTGATTTTGGCCAGGATCCTATAATCCTACACAATTTTGCATTTTCTCAGAGGAAAAGCTCCCTTGCTGCAGCAGGTTCTAAAAGAAGCTCAGTGATGATCTGGCTTTGTGCTGTGCAGCTGCAGCCACCGTCCCTCACCCAGCCCAGCCTGTGCCCAGCCCCAAGCTGGGGCTCCCCATGTCCCATCCCTTGGCTGGGTCACTCTCTCAGGCACACGCAGGAACCTCCTTCACATCCCTCTGGGAAGGATTAGGGTGAAGGAGGGGAAAAAGAGCCATTTTGGGAAGGCAATGTCCACAAATTGCTAACAGTGACTGCAAGGAACATCCATTAAGTCCCAATAATGCAGGTGCAGCAGAGACATTGTGTAGCTCCAACCACTGGCTGTTCCCTAGGGACAAACAGCCCAGGGAGCTCTGCCATCTTTTTTTTAATCCCTTTTTGCTGGTTTGTTGTGCCCCACCCTTCTATTTCTTTTTTTAATTATTGTTTATCAGCACAGAGCAATTGAGTGACAAGAGAGAACATGTTGCCTCCCTTCTGCCTGGAAAAGGGTTGGAAATCCATAGAGGCACAAGGAACATTTCTGGGGACAATCTAGAAAATCTTGGTCTCCATCCACACCCATGCAGGGGATCTGCATTTCCCATCTGCCATTCCTAAGGACAGAGTCTCTTTTCCTTTTTTTTTAATAATCCCTTTCCAAGGCAGAGCTGCACTTTGGGAACAGGCAAGTGAAAGTGTGACAGACTGGTGGGAGTTTCAGTTGCAGCAGTAAAAAGCAGCAGAGGAGCGGGAAAGGGGAAGAAGCCCAGATGGAGGTGGGATTGATGTTAGCAGAGCACTGAGGCTGTGGGGAGGAAGGGACAGGCAGGGGATGGAGGTCTCTTTATCAGCTGGGAGCCACAATGCTGGGAAAAAACCTGGAGGAAGGAGAAGGAGGTGAGGAAGGATGAGCACATGGAGAAGGTGGCATTGATGTCTGCAGTGACTGTAGTTAAATCACACCCCTGCTGCCTGCCTCAGTTTCCCTCACTGCTCAAAATGAACACGTGCATTGTACCCATAGCGTGTTTGGAAGTGGGACTGACAAGCAGAGGATCAGCCAGGCTGGAGCTGCCTCCTGGCAGGAGGGCACTGCTGGGTGGAAGTAAAGGCAGGAGCTTGAATTTGCTTTGGTCTTGCCTGAGGAATGTGTGTGCCCACACCACAACAGAGTCAGAGGACACCGGGCGGGCAGGGGTTGTTGGGGATGGTGGAGCAGCTGATGTGCAGTGGGGTCAGCTCTGCTTCCCAGGGCAGGAGCAGGTCCCAGGCAGGGAGTGTGACTGCAGTCAGAGAAGGTCATGCTGCTGCAGACAAGATGGGTTTTGGGAGCCAAGCCCTCTTTTCCTGGTCACCCAACTGAGCTGTTGCAGAGGATGTGGCTCTGCAACCTGTCTGGCTTCTCAGGAGCTGCTGCAGGTGCTCTTGATGCTGGGTTGGGCTCCAGCAGATTTGTCCCACTGCAGGGTTTGAGGGGAACATGCTCCATGCCAGGACCATCTAATGTAGCCCATGGTGCTCCACAGGTGTGTGGAGGAATACAAGCTGGCCCCAGATGGGAAGTCCTGCCTGATGCTGTCAGACATCTGCGAGGGCCCCAAGTGCCTGAAGTCAGATGCCAAGTTCAATGACACTCTCTTTGGGGAGATGCTTCATGGCTATAACAACAGGAGCCAGCATGTCAACCAAGGGCAGGTCTTCCAGATGACTTTCAGGTATGTTCCATTTCTGCTCCTAGTTTTGGGAATATTGGGATGGGACCAAGGTGCATTAATGCAGAGTCAGCATCTCTGGCACATTCACTAGAGAAAGAGAGCAAAAGGTCAACAAGCATCCATGGTTTTCCTGCTTGCTCATCCTTCCTGCTTGCTCAGGCATCAGCATAGGACCCTCCTGGGTCAGTGTGTGTGTCTTGTCAGATGACTGTTTCATTGCCTTTGATGGGCTCTTCTCCATGATGTTCCTTCTTCTCTTTCTGAACACTAATGTCTTTTATCTCCATGATATCCTGTGAGTTCTGATGTTTAATTATGTGTAGCATGAAGAGCATTTCCTTTGGTGAGTTTTTCACCTGTGTGACCTGTGCCCCAGTCAGACTACTGGGAGAAGCTGTGGATACAGCAGGATAGGAAATAACATGAATAAGCTGCAGGTAAATACCTCCCTGAGAGCAAGTAGCAGATGGCTGGGGGTGTTTGCAGGCTACACCCCAGGAGTAACTGGAGTGCTGAGGGTCAGGTGTGGGTGGGGAGAGCAGGCTTAGAGCTGCCCAGGTCTTCACTTTCCATGCTCAGGGAGGAGAGCTTGCTGATCATTGCTGAATTTAGGGCTGGAAAATGAGATGATTTATTTATTGTTCTTCAGCTCTGCATATTGCTTAGGCGTAAACTAAGGTGGGCCTGTGAGTTTCCAAGCAGCAGTGCTGATCAGTAGGAGAGGACCCAGCCCACATCCCACCCCAATACAACCTTTCTTTGCCCAGTGTTTGCCAGTGCACTGGTGGTTTGGTTTATTTTTATGTTAAAGCACCAAGACCAGTCATGTCTCCAATTTCAGCTGCAGTCGTGGGTGCTCAGCATTGCTGCTCACTGTGTTTTCCTGGGCACTTTTTCCCCAGCTGAGTGCAAAACCTTCCCAGCTATGAATTAATGCTGAACTCTGGCCTTTGCTCTCTTGATGGCAGATGAATTACGAGCTCCACCACCACAAAGGAGCTCAGAACAGAGTGCTTGGAGCCAGCACAGCCACAGCCTTTGCTAGAAGTGAGAACTGACAGTACACAAAGACAATTTTCCTAGTGGGCTCCTCTTTGCCTTCTCTCCCTTCTACATTACAAAGGGTCAGTGAGTCCATCAGAGCAGAGCCAAGGCTACAGAGCTGGAATTTTCCATGAGCTGGTGGGTCAGACCCACCAGTCTGGGGGCTTAAAAAAACCCTCTCCAAGCCCATTGCTTGGAAACACCAGACCCATATGGGTTTCCCCTGAAGGAGGTCCAATCCCAGCTTGTGCCATCAGACTTTATGCACCAAACCCCTTTTGGCAGAGGCTTAAATTTCCTCTCCAGTTAGTCTGTAGCCTGCCCTTTGCTTGCACTGCAGAGCAGGAGGGTTGGGAAACTATCCTTCCCCTACTTTGGCCACGGCTGGGGTCTAAGGGCTGCTTTGTCACTGCTGGGAAGCAAACACATCCACTTTCCTCAGGGCTAAATTCTGGCTGGAAAGCACACAAGTCTAGGAGATGTGACTTCTCCAAGTCATGCTGTCCCAGAGCATCCTGGGGATGGTGGGTTTGTTAAGTCCCAGGCTGGCCCAGGAGCAGTTCCTGCAGGGGCTCTTTTCTTGGCGTCTTGTCTCTCAGTATAAAACACCTGTAGGGTTGGGATTGCATCTTCCAGGGGTCAGAGCCCAAAGCACTCCCTGGGACTCATGGCTGACAGGTTTTCAGATTAAAAATAAGGTCTGCTCATGTTCTGCTCTCCTTCCCATGGCAGACACATCTCCTGGCCTGGTATGCCTGCAGTCTGGGGAAGCTTTTCCCAGTGAGGGTCTGTGCAGTGGGAGCCAGGTACTCTGCAGGACCTCACCACCACAAACAGGGTTTTCAGTACCCATCATCAGCTGGGAGGGCTAGTTCTGGGTCTAACAGCTGTGAGGGGCAGGAGAAAGCAGGTCTGAAACAACAGCAAAGCGTGCCCATGTGATGCAGGCGTAGCTTGTGATGCTCTGGCTCAGCAGACCTTGAAGCAAGCAGGAGGCAGAACATCTTGCTCCAGAAATGCTTTCTGCAGCCTTGGAGGGTCAGCACAGCTGCCCTTTCCCCTTTGAATGTAGGCTGGTGGCTCCAGAAGCTCCAGGCAGCCATGAGGAGGACTCACTTCCCTGCTCACAGCCTCCTTCCCCATGGCCGGGCTGCCCGCTGTGTCGGAGGGTTATGCTGAAGAAGCACCATTACATCATCTCCTAACAAGAGAAGAGAAGGAGGTTAATGGAGAAGAAATTATTAACTAAAAGATGTAATTTGCCTCTGATTTTCATAGATATTCAAAAACCTCTCTGAGCATTAAGACACCAGCTGTTAGAGAAGTCCTTTAATTTGGTACATTTGAAACATAGCAGGAAGCTGCCTAATACCAGGGATTAAAAGCCTGTTTCTGCAAAGTAGGAGCAAGAACCTGCTATCAGAACAAGGGGATGAGTATTTTAGAGGGATTTATCACTGCTGGGATCCTTCAGCTATGCAGATGTGACAGTCCTGTGAATGGTGTCTGCTTCCCATGCCGCTGCACCTTCAGTGTCTTTAATAAATAGGATATTCTCAATCTGCCAGGCATGGAGCGTGGTGTTGGCAGGGAGCCTTTGTGCTGGGAGAAGTCATCTCACACACCCTGGTCTGGGTAGGACTTAGCAGTGACTGGTATTTCAGTCCTGTTGGGGTTGGTATGGTCTCTTTGCCACCCAGTGATCTGTAGGTGATCCTGTAATGTGTGTGCTACTCCCAAACATGGCTCAGCACAGCACTGGATGGAGCTGATGTAGCATCAATGTCTTTATTGTGTCTGACCATTGTGAGAGGACAGGGATGGGCAGTGGATACCTTTAGGATGCAGAGTAATATGGATACCTTTAGGATGCAGAGTAAGGATGGTGTTTGATATGACAGTAAAGCACAGTAAGCTGGTAATGAAACAGGAGATCTGCCCAGTCTGCAGGTCCCAGAGCTGAGACCTGCCTGCAGTGGCTCGGATTTTGGCTTTCCCCTTTATTCCATATTTTATCCAAAGGAGACAGGCAGCACCCAGACACTTTGGTGGCATGACTGAGGAGATGGTGACACCCAAAGAAAGGATACAGGAAGCAAATCCTGGCTGCTGTGACCAGGGGTGGGCAACAGCCAGAATGATTCATGCTGTGTATGTGTGTGCTCTATACATACTCCCTAGGTACAGTGCCAAGGACCCTCAGTGACAGTGAAGCCACAGCCCAGTGAGACATGAGCACCACAGCAACCCTGCAGCTCAGCTTGAGCTGTTAGGAGCTGTGGGCATCTTGTTCTGTACTAAGGTGGCTTAATGACTGCTAATTATCACTGTAGTGTTCGGGGTGCTCAGTTGACCTGTTGGATAAGCCAGTGTGAATGTTCCTGCTTGAAGAAGAGCACAGTGTCATTGCTGCTGCTGGTTTATTGCAATGACTTAAATCAAAGCTCTGCTCCAGTGACATGGCTGCCATGTGGTCCCTCACTGGGCACTTTGGTGAGAGGATGAAGAGGGGTCTTTGATCACACACCAGAAACCCTCCTTGCTCCTTCCATTGTTGAGCTAAAAGCACATTCAGAGCTGTTGCTTTCTGGGCAACCCTCTCTTTAGCAAAAAAAAAAAAATAATAAAAAAAATTCCTTTTTGGCAAAACACTGTGCAGGGTTAATACCTGGTGGGACTGGAGCTCATCTATTCCAGTCACACCTCCCAGTCTAGCTGGGAGGCTCAGCAGTGGATCCAGCTTGCTAAAGACTGGATTAGAGCAGCTTTCCCCCCGTTGTCTCATGGTGGGGCCGAGCCCAAACTCTACACCATCCCCAAATCACCAGGGGATTATTTTCCAAATGGATTGTTTGTTCATTCCTTATCTGGCTTGTGCTGTCTCATTGCCACAAGGGAATAGCATTTTTTGTTTCAGAGCTGTTTGCAGTTTCAAACTGTTGCTTTTATGCCATTAATATGGAAAAAAACCCAAAACAACCCAAATTACTACCCGTGGAGCCAACTTTACTAGGTGGATTAGCACTGCACAGCAAACAGGCTGTCAGAGCCATGCGTGGCAGAGCACTCCCCATGGAGCACCCATCTGCCAAGGTCCCTTCCCAGCCCTGCCTCCAGCTCTGCCTCCCATCCTGCTCTGGCTTGGCCCAGCCCCAAGGCAGGGGCAGCACCTCGTTCATGCCCACAGGCCCCCTTTGGTGCCCCTTCCCAGTGAAGATGATGTGAGTCCAGGGAGTTTCTGAGTGATAGAGGCAGATAAACAGCCAAACTGGTCTGGTGGCTGGAGGGGGGAGAGGTTTTGTGTCAGCACTTCTTCACTGCACAAAACCTGCCAAACAATTAGTGTTCTCTCAGTGACCAAGGGGGACAGCAGGAGGAGGCAGGGCTGTCCTGCCCAGCACCTTCCTGCAGGTTAGAATCACCTTCCCTCTGCCAATCCACCCTCAGAGGATGGGGTTCCTCACATCCCCACCTGTAAAACAGAGGCTGGAACTTCTTTACCCCTTTGGGGAAGGGAAAGGTTGGATGGGAGGTAGTGCTGAGTCTGGGCCAGTACTACTGAGCCCAGCACTGAGGTGCTACAGGGAGATGAGCACCCACTGCCAGCCCAGCAGCCAGCTCTGCTGCCCTGCTGCTCCGTTCCCAACAGCCGCGCTGGGTCACTGACCCGGTGCCTGCAATTGTCGTAATATTGATGGGGAACTTGGCAAGTTAATTTCAAATCTGTCACAGCTTCTCCTCATAACTTCTCAGCCCTTGATAAACTGGCAGGGTGTGCTGAGAGCTCAGCACCATCCCTGCTGGGGGCTGCATCTGGGAAGGTCCCCACGCCATCTCTCCCCCTGCATCGGGGAGGCCTCATGTGAGCTGCACCCTGTGTCTCCCTGGCTGTGGGTGCTGTTGGGGGCTGGGATGGGTGTCAGCTGGGTGCAGCATCACTTCTGAGAGCAGGACAT